CTGATGAATGAATGGCAGTATTCAAACTGAAAATCTTATAGGAAGCCTGAATGAATGAATGTCAGTATTCAAACTGAAAATCATATAGGAAGCCTGAATGAATGAATGCCAGCAATCAAACTGAAAATCAAATAGGAAGCCTGAATGAATGAATGCCATTATTCAAACTGAAAATCAAATAGGAAGCCTGAATGAATGAATGAATGCCATTATTCAAACTGAAAATCAAATAGGAAGCCTAAATGAATGAATGAATGAATGCCATTATTCAAACTAAAAATCATATAGGAAGCCTGAATGAATGAATGCCAGTATTCAAACTGAAAATCATATTGGTAGCCTGAATGAATGCCAGCAATCAAACTAAAAATCATATAGGAATGAATGCCATTATTCAAACTGAAAATCAAATAGGAAGCCTGAATGAATGAATGAATGAATGGCAGTATTCAAACTGAAAATCATATAGGAAGCCTGAATGAATGAATGAATGAATGAATGCATGCCAGTATTCAAACTGAAAATCATATAGGAAGCCTGAATGAGTGCCAGCATTCAAACTGAAAATCAAATAGGAAGCCTGAATGAATGAATGAATGAATGAATGAATGTCAGTATTCAAACTGAAAATCATATAGGAAGCCTGAATGAATGAATGTCAGTATTCAAACTGAAAATCAAATAGGAGGCCTGAATGAATGAATGTCAGTATTCAAACTGAAAATCAAATAGGAAGCCTGAATGAATGAATGTCAGCATTCAAACTGAAAATCAAATAGGAAGCCTGAATGAATGAAGAATGTCAGTATTCAAACTGAAAATCATATAGGAAGCCTGAATGAGTGCCAGCATTCAAACTGAAAATCAAATAGGAAGCCTGAATGAATGAATGAATGAATGAATGAATGGCAGTATTCAAACTGAAAATCATATAGGAAGTCTGAATGATTGAATGAATGAATGAATGAATGTCAGTATTCAAACTGAAAATCATATAGGAAGCCAGAATGAATGCCTGCATTCAAACTGAAAATCAAATAGGAAGCCAGAATGAATGCCTGCATTCAAACTGAATATCAAATAGAAAGCCTAAATGAATGAATGCCAGTATTCAAACTGAAAATCAAATAGAAAGCCTGAATGAATGAATGAATGATGAATGCCAACAATCAAACTAAAAATCAATAGAAAGCCTGAATGAATGAATGAATGGCAGTATTCAAACTGAAAATCATATAGGAAGCCTGAATGAATGAATGTCAGTATTCAAACTGAAAATCATATAGGAAGCCTGAATGAATGCCAGCAATCAAACTGAAAATCAAATAGGAAGCCTGAATGAATGAATGCCAGCAATCAAACTGAAAATCAAATAGGAAGCCTGAATGAATGAATGCCATTATTCAAACTGAAAATCAAATAGGAAGCCTGAATGAATGAATGGCAGTATTCAAACTAAAAATCATATAGGAAGCCTGAATGAGTGCCAGCATTCAAACTGAAAATCAAATAGGAAGCCTGAATGAATGAATGAATGGCAGTATTCAAACTGAAAATCATATAGGAAGCCTGAATGAATGAATGTCAGTATTCAAACTGAAAATCAAATAGGAAGCCTGAATGAATGAATGAATGGCAGTATTCAAACTGAAAATCATATAGGAAGTCTGAATGAATGAATGAATGAATGTCAGTATTCAAACTGAAAATCATATAGGAAGCCTGAATGAGTGCCAGCATTAAAACTGAAAATCACTGCTGATCTGCACTGGCTCGGAAGATGAATTCTGATAAAAAAACAAAAAACTTGTGGCGTTGAATGCACGTTCATTCTCAGTAATGTTATGCAAATTAGAAATTCAAACTAGCTAATCATTTACAACCTTCCGAGCCAGTGCAGATTAGCCCGAAAATCAAATAGGAAGCCTGAATGAATGAATGCCAGCAATCAAACTGAAAATCAAATAGGAAGCCTGAATGAATGAATGCCATTATTCAAACTAAAAATCATATAGGAAGCCTGAATGAATGAATGTCAGTATTCAAACTGAAAATCATATAGGAAGCCTGAATGAGTGCCAGCATTCAAACTGAAAATCAAATAGGAAGCCTGAATGAATGAATGCCAGCAATCAAACTGAAAATCAAATAGGAAGCCTGAATGAATGAATGCCATTATTTAAACTAAAAATCATATAGGAAGCCTGAATGAATGAATGCCATTATTCAAACTGAAAATCAGATAGAAAGCCTGAATGAATGCCAGCAATCAAACAAAAAAGCAAATAGCCTGAATAGATGCCAGCAATCAAACTGAAAATCAAATAGGAAGCCTGAATGTGATTAATTTAACTGATATGTACTGTATGAGGTCACTATCTTGAACATTGAAGATTGTGGCTCACATGCAGTTAATAATATCAGTGAAATTAATCACATTTGCTTTAGAATAACTTGTGTGCCAGATGACTGTGATTTATACTTTTCAAACACATCACATATAATTGTCTCAAAATCCCAATATTTCCATGAGTTTTGTGTCAGATGACAGATGCATACCTTCAATACTTACAGCCACACTTGCAACATATTTGAAACGTTTTATTTGAACTATTAACAGTCATGATGTAGAGGAGCCTGAAGGAATCCATTTCAAGATGACTGGGACCAAGACGAGACTGGTGTACCGGTTAGAGCCATTTATGACTATGATGGTGCCGAAGCTGACGAACTGTCTTTCAAAGCTGGTAAGTTCAAATTGTTGCTGAAAGTCTCCATGGATAGTGGAAATGATTGGCGAAATAAACGTGTCGATTTTCTGACTGAATATTCACTAGTGACTGACAACAGCACTTTGAGTTTGGAGATAAGCTGCTGGGATAGGTTAATTCATGTCACATTCTAGTGGCTAACTCAACACACAGAATGGAACACATAACCCTTCTTGTGACCAAATATCACTACATATTCATTAGTGGAAGCATGCAGTTCACCCATCATATTCCATATTTGTTTTGCAGGGGATGTGTTCACCAAGCTAGAAGACGAGGATGAACAAGGCTGGTGTAAGGGAAGGATAGGCAACAATGTAGGACTGTATCCAGCCAATTATGTACAGAATATATAACGAGAATTATATCCTTGTTGATATACCACAGTGAAAATCTACTGCAACTATTCTATTTTTGTTTGTATACCTTATATAGTCATTATTTACCATAACTGTATATGCATTGTTTTTATTATAATTATTTGCATCATTTGCATGATGGTTCCATACTCGATGAAGCCATTATATTTGGTATACTGTATCTGTATCATATACAGTAATTATTACAATATTTGTCCAATTCAGTCATTGGCTGGTTAATACAGTTTATGATTTATTAACTGTTATTTACTAGCTTATCTTCATATGAGCAGGACTGTATTTGTTGAACTAAATTTCTTGGCATACATGCATGTATAAACAGTTGGTGTAGTATAAGGGTACATAATAATTTCTTGATAATACAATTTTCGTGATACAAATTGTACATACCAAATACATTCTTGATGAATAAACTACACAATGACCTTAATGATTTATACTTACACAGATTGCCTAAATATCTCAAAAGTTCAAATTAGCAAACTAGTACAAGTAAGCACAGGAATACGTGGCTCAACATGGCCGCACATTTTGTTGTACCCACATAAACAAACTATGACATCATTGTATGCTGCTTCTTGATAATTCTTTATTGCACAAAACAAAGAAATCACACAATCTTAGTTAGTCAAAGTCTTAGTTGTAAGAGGGCAGAAAATGTTTCAGCCGTTGTCGTTTTGCGCTCAATACAATCAATGATGATTGTTGAAAGTTGTTCAGTAATGTTACTTTATTGACAAATAGTTGATGTTGTATCATACTTGTGTCCCATTAAAAAATTATTTGGCATGAACTGATTTTATCGCTATGATTGTATTTTCAAGATAATACTAGACACCTCTATTCTACACCAATGCCTGAATTAATAAATTCCTAACATTATTAGGCTAGTTAGGTTCTGACAATTGTGAATGAAGATTTGGTCAGTATCATGAATACAGCTTTAATTAGCATACCGATAGTGACATTATTGTGATAAAAAACAATTGTTCATTAATATGATCATGTGTTTGTACATTATTAAAAGTCCTACTGATATTTGATCACATCTATCTTGAACTTTTTATGTTTTTCATTTTTATGTTTTCCTCTCAAAGATGCCACTAGAAAAACCATGGTTACTTGTATACCATTTGTGTCTATGTCTTAATCATCATGTGACTAATGATTTGTCTTTATATACATGTAATCTTACTCATTTGTCATTAACCTGAACTAAAACCCATTGTGCCTGCCTTAATACTAATACCTAATGCTCTGTAAACATGCTTTTTAGTTGAAAATGATTATGAAAACATAAGTTCTATTAAATTGGACAACATGTTATCAAATTGAAAGTTATTAAAGTTAATTCAAATTGCAGTACTTACCAAAAATTGCCATAGAGCTAGGGTGTACTTTAATTTTCCTCATTGTTTTCCCGATCACCTAAACAACAATGCTCATCATCTGTGATGCGATACCCATGTTTGAGTCACACTATCTGTTCATCTGTTAAATATTTTAAATGACTTATAGCAGAGACTGAAATAAATTGTAACATTGTAATATTCCTAGGAACATTATAGTCTTTAATGTTTGTTATGACTTTGCCTTCAACAACACTCATTTCCATGTATTGGATAGATTTGAAATAATTTGAAAATGATTGTGTCCAGGAGCATTGGCTTGTTAAAAGTGCCCAAGCCAAAACAAACACTGCTGTTAGTGTTCCTAGGATTGTTGCAACAGAGATAGATGAAAAGGCGATTTTTCTCGACTATAACTGGTCATAATGCATTGAAAATTAATGACATTTCCAAAGGTACCATATGCACATTGTTTTGGGAGTTTTGAGCATTTGGGATTGCAAAATTTCTTCACATGTGGATGGTAATCACATATTGCAGTATCTATTGTACTTGATATTACTAAGGGACAACATCAAAAGTTCAATGTAGGATAAAAAACTTAATTCCTTTAGTTTTTTCCCAAACTCCTCCACCCCCCACTGAAACTTAATTGATAAATATTGATCATGCCGTCAGACTACATTCACCATTAAATACAAATTGATAATCGGACAGTAGTATGGCATAGCAGTTGGTTCTAGGTCAATGCCCTGAAATTTACCTCATTTGACGCGTGTATTTACACTCAGACCAAACCATTTTCTTGTCTTGGATGTTTTTTTTTTTCATTTTCTGTTATTTTTGTCCATGAGTGGATAGAAACAAAACAAACTACAAATACTCCAAGATTTTTTTGACTTCATTAAAAAATAAAATCGTTTTGTAGGATGGAAACTTTTTGAGGTCAAAACTCCCCACCTCCAAACTAAAGGAAATAAGTTTTTTATCCAACATCAATCTTTTGACGTTGTCCCTGATAAAACTGCCAAAATATAAAATTCCTGGTGTCTTTTTCATTATAGGCTCTAATAGTGTAAGAATTCCACTTATTTCTGGTGGGATGCATATTTTGATTTGGTGGAAAATCTTTTACATAATTGTAATATTCTGTTACAATTAAGTGTTTTTTATCACGAGAAAACTGCAACGTGACCATCTATGCTTGGATATCCTTCAAACAAATTATTGGTTTCCTGTTTCTTTAGAATCAGACAAGGTCACATATTCTAAAATAAACAATGATCACATTAATAGTCAAAATAAGAATTTTATGTTGTGCCATTATATTTCGCACAGGAATATGTTTGTTTCTTTTATTCAGTTAATTTTATATCACGTGTAATAATCCAGTACTTGGTTTGTTAGTTCGCTTTTACAAGCTGTATAAATGCTTTAGAGCTGGTCTCAATTCTCATCACATAATTCACCAAAATTTGGGTTCAGGATTTTCCTTTGACATATGATATCAAAAGTAACCTAAGTAACATCTACTGTGAACTGTTCATTTTCGAGAAAGCCAAATTTTCAAACACTGAAAAATTCCACTTTATTTAGCAAGAACTACTGAGTCTTGCTTGAATTTCAGTTGTTAAGAATACTTAGTTATCTATATTACCTCGTTAACTTATTTGCATAATCAGGGATAAATCCCAAACTATGAATCTGTGATGAATAAATTGGGAAAGGTTTCTAAGCAACCATCATGTATTTTTATTTAAATTATATATTTATGGCTAAAAAATTACCTTTTCTGTGAACAGATATTGGATTTTTTTTTACTTATTTTTTTGCCATGTGAAGGAATGTTTACTTAATGTTTTGGTAAGTGTGTGGTGCGAATGATGTCCCATACTTAATTCATTCATTGATCTGGAATCAAACTTTAAATCAAGTATCGTATCATATAATACATGTATTTCATTTATGTGGACTGGGTAGTACATGTGTTCCAACATTATACCCAAGTATTTTGGTACATTGTACAGTAGCTATTGTAAATAATCTTATCTTCGTTGTCATCATGTTTTACGTAATTAATGCTATTCTATATTTTGAACAGTTATTTTATCAGTATTAGTTGAGAACCACTCAAGCAAAAATAAAAATTATGTATTCTCTGAGTGTTGTAAGATTATTTCATGGCTTGTACATACATTGAGAATTGAATATTATTTTTTTAATATTCATCTTGATTGTATGAAGTTATGCAATAATTGCTCAACCATGTGCCCTATATATTTTGATAGGTTTAGTCCCAGTAATTGAGGAATTGTGTATGATCACTCCATAGTAATGGAAGGATGTTAAAAAAATACTAACAAGATATGTATGTATATGTATGAAAATAGCGAGTATTTGTGTACTTGCAAGCAGTTGATAAAATAGAAAATATTTATAGCTAGATTTTGAAGAAAATTGGGGAAAAAATAGAAATAAATGTGTACTTGTGTTGTATACAATGAATTCAAGTGAGACTCTTGCCACACAGCAAAAAAAAGACATTGGATTTACTTTATTGGTATTAATAACAGTCTCAGTTACATTTAAAAACTTTGAGTGTGTTAAACATAAAATTGCCATTTGAAATATATTAACATGTATTGAATCATCAAGTACTAGAGGTCAAATTTCTGGTAATGTTTAGGGATATTGTTTATATTTGAACTACACATTGTCTGGCAATGCATTTTGTGATTTTTGTGGTGTTGTGATCTGACCACTCAACATTCTGTCCATTGATAAATTTTATATTTCATGGAATATAAAGTTCACTGTAATCATTGTAATTGTAATATAATTACTGCCTTGTAATCTTAATATCCTGGTTACTTGCGTGTGGTAATTGTGATATTCTGGTTTATTCTGGTATTTCTAATTGTAACTGATTACTGAATCACAGGAACTGTAATATTCCACTTACTGACTTGTAGGGATAAAAAATACTAGCATTATATGAAAAATCTGGTTGCTGACTTGCATTAAATGTAATATTCAAGTCTATGTGGTAATATTCATTACTTGCAATATTCAGTTTAATGACTCAGTAATAGTTATATTCAGGTTACTGATTCAGTAACTGTAAAACTAAGGTTACTGTAATCGTAAGGTTCTGGTTACAGAGTCAGTAATTGTAAAATTAAGGTTCCGGTAATCGTAAGGTTCAGCTTACTGACTCAGTAATTGTAAAAGTAAGGTTAAGATAATCGTAAGGTTCAGCTTACTGAGTCAGTAATTGTAAAATTAAGGTTACGGTAATTGTAAGGTTCAGCTTACTGAGTCAGTTATTGTATAAGTAAGGTTACGATAATTAGTAATCGTACTCAAGTTACATACTGTGGAATACTTTATTTTCGCTGGAATTAATTTTCGCTAAAAAGACTTTTTGGGCATTTTGTATGGAATTTATTTTCACTGATTTTTGATGAGTTTAATGTGAAATATGGGAAAAAAAGTATATTCGCTGGATTTTATTTTCATTGAATCGTCCCTTCCACGAAAATAGCGAAAATAAATTCTAAGCGAAAATAAAGTATTCTACAGTACTCACTATAATCATTCAGATTCCTGGTTGGGACTGTTCTCATATCACATTATAGTCTTGTGGTACAAATTTATAAGAGTAATTAAAATAAGATACTTTAATAACAATGGTTTCTTGGTGTGTTTTGTTTGATTCATCTAGATGTAGGGAGAACTACTTTGTCTACTCTTTTAGCTCCATGGTCAAATAAAAGTAGAATAAAGGCCCCCATCACAGATGCTACATGAGTAGTAACTGTTTCGTTTATCATGAATGGTAACTATAATAACGCAATCTGCTGCACCAAATGCATCTATTATGATAGGGGGCACTGTGATGGCAATTACATATGTTTTCTTCAGACACGTGGTCTAATGCCATTGAAGATGCTGAATCTGACCAGTCATTCTATAGTATAAACAAATTTTGACTTTTGAAATGCGCACAAGGGCATCTTGTGCAACAAACAGAACTATGCTTTGCGGAATGGCATATGGCACACTGTTTATGATTTGGCCCCATTCACATCTTTAAACTGTTTAAACAATAGCTGTTTCCGGACCTGTCTATAGAGGGAGACATGCAGTTTATTGGTGGAACCTTGCTGTGTAGTTGATGAGTGCTTTGCTTTGCAAGGGGAAGATCCGAGTTCAATTTCCATGTTAGGAACTCATTTATTTTACTTCTTTATTTCATTTTTTTTACTTTTGAATGGGGAACTTTATAATTTTCATGTGCTTTTTCTTTGAATCATTTTTTTTTTGCCATTTTCTTTCTTTTTCTTATTATTTTGAATATTAATAATAATAATAACTTTATTACACATCCATCTGTGGGTTTAGTAAGGTAAAAAATGATTACAAAAGACAAATAAAACAAGACAAACTAAAACACTAAAATTAAAATACACTGAAATTCAACAAAAGAAAAGAAATAAAAATTAGAAAATCTCTGATGAAAAATTGATTAATATCAGCAGCAAGGTTCTCCCAGACCGTTCCTGTAGCATAGACGGTTTTACGGGGCGGGGTTGCTAACCCCACGCCCAGCTCTCCTTTCTAATCCGGGCTTAGGACCTGCTATGGCAGAGTTATTTTCTCCCAGACCACAGCCCTTTAACTTTTTGTTCAGTACCTTAAAGTTTAACGTTTTCAATGAATTTAATAAAAAACATCTACTAGAACTGTTTACTGACCATGGTCAGTGGTGGTACCAATTAGGGCTAGACCATTCAGCAAAGCAGGGATGGATGTTCAGCCTGCCCTTAACTATACGGGACAAGTCATGTGTAATTTAACTATGTTCTAAAAAAAGAAGCGACGTAAACAAAACAAAAATCTGTTGCCCGTAAGGCCAGACATTGTGTTATCCCTTGTTTCGCCAACCCACCAAATGAGCAGGAGTCGTAAATGAAATAAAAATAAAATTTTATTTCAGCGTAATTTCTCGCGCCCGCCGACTTGTAAGTGCAAAAAATTGCTAAAAAAAACTTATTTTTATCTTCATTTTTTTCCGCCCGCCGCATTACAAACCCAAGTTGCATT